AACTCTGCAGCAACGTGGATGACTCTTAAATGCATTTTGTTAAATGAAAGAAGCTAGTTCAAAAAACAACACATTGTATGGTTTCATTAATGTAACTTAGAAAAGGCAAAACTACTAGGATAGAAAAGAGAAGAGTGGTTGCCAGGAGATAGGAAGGGACGAGGGGTAAAAGAGGCAGCATGAGGGGCTGTTGAGGGTGATGGAACTCTTTTGAATGGGACTATGGTGGTGGATATATGACTTCATGGATTTGTCAAAACATACAGAACTGTATACCACAAAGAATGAATTCTGCCATATATCAGCCATAATAAAATCAACCAGGATGTGTGAGGAAAGATGAAATGCAGACTCTGACAAATGAATCTAACTGTATTATACGTGAATTAAATAATCCACTGAAGGGGGTAAGAAGAAAGAGTTGACCTAAGTAACTGGGGAAAAATGTATTTTGACTGGATACCATAAGGGTAAACAACCACAACCTTATATACTAACAGACACCATGCTCTAGTTAGTAAATTTGTTTCTAGGACTATGGCTTAGCAATTCTGAAACTAATTATGTATATATATTAGAGATGAACACATAAGCAGATATATGGTAGAAAACAAGAGGCAGGTTTATGGCCAGGAGAAAGAAATGACAAATACGAAAAAGGGGACGGCATGAATGAGTCACATAGTGCTGGACTGGGGACCGAGGCATAAGTATAGACTCATGGTTTTTGTTCAGTGTACATATATAGATGGACTGGTATGGAAATAAATATAAATGTGTGTTATGGGTAGGTTAGTTTACATGCACACACATATATTTCCTAGCTCTGTTCACCAAAAAGTCCAGAAGTAGTGATACCCACATAGTGATGAGTGCACAACCTCCCAGATCTAGGTTTCCAAATACAATTCTCCTTGGAAAAATAATTTCTTCTGTTTTTTGTTTTTTTGTTTTTTTTTTTTTTGAGACAGAGTCTCACTTTCGCCCAGGCTGGAGTGCAGTGGAGAGATCTCTGCTCATTACAACCTTCGCCTCCCGGATTCAAGTGATTCTTGTGTCTCAGCCTCCTGAGTAGCTGGGACTATAGGCACATGCCACCACACCTAGCTAAGATACGGTTTCACCATGTTGGCCATGCTGGTCTCGAACTCCCGACTTCAGGTGATCCTCCCACCTCAGCCTCCGAAAGTGCTGGGATTACAGGCATGCACCACTGCGCTTGCCCAGAAAAAGTAATTTCTGTGACTCCAGAGAGTAAGGAAGTGCTAAAAAAAAAAAAAGGGGGGGAGGAGGATGTCAAAAAAAGGAGGAGGAGTAAGGAAGTGCTCAAAAAAAGGAGGGCACAGGAACCCACCTGAATGAACTCCCAATGGCCAAAGTTGGAAATTGAACAGTAAAATAAATGATAGTATTGTATTGTAACCCAAGGAATAAAATAAACCTGAGTCCCTATAGATACAAACAACTGAATAAACAAGTGGTAGAGAGGGGCAGCTCCTGTAGAAAAACTCCAGTCGATAAATGTAGAAGGACTGCGAATACAGAAAATCACCAAGAGAACACCATAGTTATTATTGAGGCATGATCCACTGATAGATGCTAATATTAGTGGGCAAAAATTTGAGCAGAAAGAGGACATTTGCAGAGTCTTAAAGTATCTAAGTCTGTATTCTGTATAAAAGGAAAAATAGCAACTTTACTGTAGCAAAAGCTGGCAGATACCTCCTTGACCAAGTGATCAATATAATACATCTTGACATCATGTACTGCTGACACACACCAAGAAGGGTACATCAACTATGTGGCACCCTTCCCAATAACCATGACAAAAACATCAGCCAGACCAAAACTGGGGACATTCTAAATGTCTGACCAGTACTCCTTGAAAGTGTCAAGGTCATGAAAGACTAAAGAAAGACTAAGGAAATGTCACAGTTTGGAGGAGATCAACAGAGCCACAATAACGAATGTAATATGGCGTCCTGGCACCAAAAGAGGACATTAATGAGAAAACTAGTAAAATACAAATATAGTCTATAGTTTAATTAATAGCATTGTACTGATATTAACTTAGTTTTGATCATTTTTTATGGTTATATAGATGTTAACATAAAGTGAAGCTGAGTGAAGAATAAATGGGACCTCTCTGTTATGTTTGTAATTCTGTTATCTAAAATTATTTCAAAATAAAAAGATTAATTTAAAAAATGTGACTGGAGCTGGGCATGGTAGCTCACACCTATAACCCCAGCATTTTGGGAGGCCGAGGCGGGCATATCACCTGAGGTCGGGAATTCAAGACCAGCCTGACCAACATGGAGAAACCCCAACTCTGCTAAAAATACAAAATTAGCCGGATATGGTGGCACATGCCTGTAATCCCAGCTACTCAGGAGGCTGAGGCAGGAGAATCATTTGAACCCGGGAGGCAGAGGTTGCAGTGAGCCAAGATGATGCCATTGCACTCCTGCATGGGCAACAAAGCAAAAGTCCGTCTCAAAAAAAAAATTTTTTTTTTTTTAGTGTGGCTGGGCATGGTGGCTCATGCCTGTAATCCTAGCACTTTGGAAGATCGAGGCTGGCGGATCACTTGAGGTTAAGAGTTTGAGACCAGCCTGGCCAATATGGTGAAACCCTGTCTCTACTAAAAATATGAAAAATTAGCCAGGCATGGTGGTGCGCACCTATAAATCCAGCTACTTGGGAGGCTGAGACAGAATTGCTTGAACCCAGGAGGCGGAGGTTGCAGTGAGCCGAGATCGTGCCACTGCACTCCAGCACGGGCAATAGACAGAGCACGACTCCATCTCAAAAAAAAAAAAAAAAAGATACCCTTGGTCGGCGCAGTGGCTCATGCCTATAATCCCAACATTTTGGGTGGCCGAAGTGGGTGGATCATTTGTGGTCAGGAGTTTGAGACCAGCCTGGCCAACATGGTGAAACTCCCATCTCTACTAAAAATACAAAATTAACTGGATGTGGTGGCTCATGCCTGTAGTCCCAGCTACTGGGGAGGCTGAGGCAGGAGAATCGCTTGAACCAGGGGGTGGAGGTTGCAGTGAGCTGAGATCGCTCCACTGCATTCCAGCCTGGGCGACAGAGCAAGATACCATCTAAAAAAAAAAGAAACCCCTTTAATAATACAGAAATTTTGAGAAAAAATAACAATAATCACAGAAATTTTGAAAAATAATAAGTTATAAAAAGAAGTTACAGGTATTACACTTCAGGGTTTTTAAAAGATACACATTTTTTAAAATTATGGTCCTTAAATGTTTTTATTTTTTCCAGAAATAACTATTATGCAAAGAATATTGCTGTCCACCATTCTAAAGAAAATCTCTGATGATGTCACTCTCCTGTTCAAAACTCTTCAATGTCTCCCTATTGCCTTTTAATTGCATTCGGATCTCTCCCTGAAGCTGCTCTGGCCCTGGTGGCCTCCCGTTCCGCTACTCCTCTTCACAGCCTGCACTCCTACCTGGAGATCTGCTGCCTTCCTTCATCCTGACCTCCTGGAAATGCCTTTTCCCCAGACTCTACTTGTCCAGAGCCCAAGAAAGCTCCCCAATGTGAAGAAGCCTCACCCTCCCTGAACTCCCAGCACATTTCCCCAAAGACCCTTCTCAGTTTCCCTGCTGCTGTTAGACCCAGGCTGATGGCGCCTCTGTCCAGTGGCTTAGTTGGAGCACCTACCTCTAGATTTTCTCACTCACCTTTCAGTACCTGAGACGAGATGGTGCCCTCCAAGTAGAGCACCGAGAACCCTAGACCAGGACACACATGCCCTCTGATCCCTCTTTCTCCCAGTTAATGCTTCCTTATCCTCTGCAATAGTGTGGGTCAGCCAGATGCCCTGAGGATCACTGGTGGACTCATGTCTACCTGATCATCCTAGGAACTGATCATCCCCCTGGCCTGTTTGGTATTTCTTTAGAAGGACCACATGAGATTGGGCCACCAGAATGGTGCTGACATGCTGACTTAGGGTGACTCAAATTGTTTATATGAGCAAGAACTCTGCCAAAAGTATTTGCCCAGGACCCTCACCCTAGTGTGGCCTTGTCAATTTCTATCATGCATTGCACATGCCTTAAAAGGGTCCTGTCTTCATCATGTCTGCATCCCTTCCCCACAGTGGTGCCTATTTTAGCGCCCGTGCATAATAGAGACTCAATAAGTATTTCTCAGCGTGAATGCTCGAAGGAATAAGTAACATCTCAGGCATACGTATTTATTTTGATCCACGGTTCTAATCATGTTTTCCTTGCACAAATTTCTAGATCTTCCTCATTCTGAGTAGCAAAAAAAAAAAAAAAAAAAAGGAAAGAAAAAGGAATTTTCACATCCTCAAGCCCTCCAGTCACTGACCTGACCGTTGATGTCCTGAAAACTTATCAAGAAAGAACAAATGCGCCTCCAGATTCTCCTGACACCAAACTGCAACTGGACTTCAACTCCAACACACGTGAGAATGGCCGAGTGTGAGAATGCTGGTTGAACAGTCTCAAGGTAGGCAGCCCCGTAGTTTGGATTTAACAATGCTTTGGCTGCAACAAACTATAGTGATAGGACATATGTTCATTGTGCTTTGCTTTTGATCTTCAGCTCCGAGGTTGAGATGCTCTCCCATGGGAAAAAGAAAAAAGGAAGAAGAGCTGGGCAGAAGGAAACCGACTTCACCCACCACTGAAATACTTCCTACCTGAAGCACAGCTCTCTTGCGAGAAGAACATGATGGCGGCTCTTCACAGTCCCCTAATTAAGGGGCTTGGGTTGGGTCCTGACTCAGAGGGAAATACAACACCACTGAGAGGCCCCCCACACAGCACCTGAGCACTCACAGCCAAGCCTGGGCTTGGCCCCAGTGGACATATGAGAACAGGTGCCTGCCAGAAGGCGGGAGGCCTGCTGTTGCCAGGTCCACCATGTGAATCACAATGACTGCATGAGGTCACGGAATGTTGAAGATGAAATGAAAGTGGCTCCTGAGTCACAAAGTCACAGGGGGGTGGGCATCCTTTTGACAGGGCTCCCAGCAATAGAGCAGTCCCACTCTCCCGGATGAGCTGGAGAAGTAGCTACCTCTCCCAGACAGAGTTGGGGTCAAATTCATGCACATCCAATTTCCATCAAAGCCCACTCTTCCCAGGGCTTGCTGGGAGGGAAGGATAACTGCAGGCTCCCCTGGCATGCCCCCTCATGAGAGAAGTTCACAAAGTTTGAGACAGAGGCGAATGGACAGGTGTGCTTCTTAGGGAAGCAGTCAAGAGGTGGCAAGAAGTTGGCAGCTGCCCTCAAGAGGGTCCTGGCACCATGGACAATGACAAGCCTCTTCAGCCTGAGACAGAAGGTGAAAGGGCATCCCATCTCTCACCACTCAGGCCCATCCCCGCTGCCTCAGTACAACACCTAGTGATCACAGGACCCTGAAGCCCACTTCTTTCCTCACCTGGGACCCTCTAGAAGTGGGATGATGTGTTATACTGACTTGGGTTCAGGGCTTGGCAAACAGGAAGAGTTGGCTACAGTGCTATGCTAGAACTATGTCATACTGGCTCCAGCCAGCTTTAATTTGTATTGTGTGGGCTGGTTGATACCATATTTATAGTTTGAAATCAGCCACATTGGGAATATTTACACCACATGAATTGGCTAACACTATAAATCAGGATATTTTTGGTGGTTTTTTTTTTTTTTTTCCTGGAGAATCAATTGTTAAATATTTACCAGCATCCTACTGGTTGTATGGAATTCTAAATTGTTTGACAAGGAAATTAAGACTTAGAAATTCATCACTTTTCTAAGGCACTCAGCAGTTTGGCAGCCAAGCTGCTGTCTGTCTTCTAACTACCAGGCTACTGCTACCTGCACTGTGTATCCCAGACAGGCTGGGAGATAAATGTTGGAACCTGGGTCTATGGACAAGGATTAAGAAAGAACATGGACTCATTAGGAACCCCACCATCCTAGAATCTGGGTGGTCAAAACTTGCGACCCCTGCCACAGACGCTCAGCCCACCCAATGAGTGGGTTGGCTAAATTCTGACATGTCATTCAAAGGCATAGTGTGGGTTCTTGAAACTACTGAGTCCTGCTGATGCCTGAGAATTGAGCTCTAGATTTTATGTGTGGCTTCCACAAGCCTATGGCTGATCCCAGGTCAATGGCCCAGAGGTGGTAAAACCACATCTAGCAAGTGTAGAGGACTGGTGTGAGGGAAGCTCTGTTCCCAGTAATATGATTAATTCATCACTATGAATTAATCATAGTAATTCATTTCAACCCAAGGGAGATTTTCAAGCCCCTCCTTTCCTGATCACAAATCAATGTTAGATTGGAAGGAAGAGAAGGTAAGTCAAATTCTTACCCATACCTGGGTATCGGGACTGGCTGAGTTGAAACAAAGACTCTGTTAATGCAAACAACACCTTCACCCTCTCTCCTCCCAGTTTCCCCAAGAAGGGAAGCATCAAAAGGAACACTTGTGAAGCAAGGGGAGAATGACACTGGTTCCATCTGACAGGGCCAGCCTCAAACTTCCCAGGCCAAGGCTAACCCAGTCACCCTTCCTTCTCTTGCTCTCTGGAACTGCTCCTGGTCCATTTTATTTTCTATTTGACCTAAGTTGCCACCTGCCCTGGCCCGCCCTGCCCCTTATACTCCCTGGCACCATTTGTGCCTGACAATAAGGAAGCCTATGTATCGGGACCCAACCTTTCACCTGAAAGAGTGCCAGCACACCTCAAAACCCACCCAAACACATAAGAAGGGGAAAGTGTGAGCAAGGAGCTGATCTCCAAGGCAGGCCTCAGACAGGGAAGCGGGCAGGAGCAGCCAGTCTCCAGGGAGCAGAAGGGAGTTGGTTTCACAAGCCCCCATGGACCCAGCAGTCAGAGGCAGCGCTAATGGGGAAGGCAGGTTTGTAGAGCGGACTTGCCCTGGCAGGGCTTGGCACCTTGAGGACCTGGGACTCAGAGGAAGGGAGCAGAGACAGGGGCGGTAGCGGCAGGCTTTACTGGAGAGGCCAGCAGGTTTTATTCCTGGCATCAGGGAGATGAGTTTTTTTCTTCCAGATGAGACTGAAACTGAGCTAGTACCACAGAGCAGTGATAAAACGCTCTACTGTGAGGCCGAACCCCCGCCAACTGTAGAAAAAGTGAAACCAGCCCGGGAGAATTCCGAAACAGACCTGGAGATTGAAGGTGAGCATGGGCATTTGGGGGCGGTCAGGGCAGCTTCTCCTCAGAAGCTGGAGAAATCTGGTTTCCAGGAGCTGTCATCTCACTCCAGAGTCTGCCCTGCGGACGACCTGTGGAGGAAATGTGGCAGAAAGGCCTGTGCTCGATTTTGCCTGGAGTCCTCCTCCAGGCTGCCCGGGGACAGCAGCTTCAACTTCCCACGCTTGTCACCTGCCTCAGGAGCAGTACCCTCATATCAGCTTGTTAAAAGCTGAATCAATACACAAACAGGGTTTTCTGATCTAAATATTTCCACATGGGCATCCTATGCAATCTTTGCAATAGTCCTAGAAGGTAGACATCATTGCCCACTTTTAACAGAAGAAGAACTGGGCCTTAAAGAGATCATAGGCATTGCCCAGGGACAATGGGAGTTTGCCCAGCATATTGGCTGATCCCGTGTTTGACTCACTCTGATGGTCCTGCCTTCTGTATTCCATATCCCAGGCCCCTGGAGTGTCTCTGTGGCCTATCTTGCATCCCAGTGACTTTCCCATACTCACCTTAGAGCTCTGGTTTCCCCTACTTTTCTTGATAAATCTAAGCATGCCTGGGTATGGGGACCGGCTGAGCTGAAACAAAGACTCTGTTAATGCAAACAACACCTCCACCCTCTCTCCTCCCAGTTTCCCCAAGAAGGGAAGCATCAAAAGAGAACACTTGTGAAGCAAGGGGAGAATGACACTGGTTCCATCTGACAGGGTCAGCCTCAAACTTCCCAGGCCAAGGCTAGTCCAGTCACCCTTCCTCTCCTGTGGCCTTGCAGCTGGCTGCTGGGCAGTGATTCACAGGCAGCAGAGATGGAGGAAGGCCAATTCTGCCAAATTAAACTGTGAAGTTCATCTGCATCAAGTCAGTTTATAATCCTCTCCACCATGGTCAACATACATCTTCACCCTTCCACGCAGACCTCCTCCCCACTGTCCCCCAGGCAGCTTGTTGCTCTTTTTCTGGCTTCTTGTCCACTTCAAGTCTGTTGCTAACGTTGCTTCCAACACCCAACTTCATTCACCTGGTTGGAGAAGGTAGCAAAGGACAACACTGGATGTTTGGCCAAAGGGTCCTATTTCTATTTCATTCCCCCTACCTCTTCCCCTGACTGCAGCAAGTGCTAACACTGTCTCTAGCTGCCCATAAAACATAACAATAGGGAACACAGCTAGAAAGGGTCAGCATCAAACCCAGCAGAATTAGTCCCAGGGACAAAACTGGGGGTTACCTTCCCTGCTTTGGCCAACAGGAACCTCTAATGGCTGAATTTGGCACCAAAAACTCTGTCCTGAAGGGAAACTCGGGGCTCAGCAGCCCTGGCTCCTGGTGCCCCTGCTGTGGTTGCTGAGACACTGGGAATGAGCAGGGAGGGCACGGGAAATGGGCCAGCTGGGAGCAGTGCTGGCTGTGAGTCTAGAGAAGAGGGGGAGACGAGCCTGGTTTGCTCACATGCCATGAGCTGTTTTTCTCCACAACAGTGGTTCCCACCTGGAAGCAATTTTGCACCAAGGGGACATTGGGCAAACTAGGGGGTAGGCGGTTGCTACTGGCATCTTGTGGTTCCATGCCAGGGATCCTACTAAACACCCTACTATGTACAGGACAGCCCTCAAAACAGAATTATCCACCCCAAAATACCTGCAGTGCTGAGGTTGAGAAGTGCTGCTGTACAAGCATCCCAAAAAGAAGTCTGCTTTGTAGTTGTGCTTGCAAAATCAGCTTCCCTGTAAAGCACTTGTCCTTTTACCAACAAAGTTCCCATTGTCAGCCTTAGATTGTTTGGGCGGGGAGGGGGTTGGCCAAAGGCCCTGGGATCCAAAGGAAAAACAGATGCAGACGTAGAGGCCAGCTGGCTCCAGGAAGCCCTGCCATAGGCTGGACTTGCCTAATGAGGACACAGCTGTGGGGCACCCAGAATCCAGGGAGGCCTGATGCCCAGTGACCATGGGCCAGGCTGGCCTAAAGCCTAAGGAATAAACGCCGCCAGGGGTTAGAATGGAAAGGTGCAGTCCCTACTTCTGCTAGCTGGTTTTAGCACTGACCAACTGTGTGTTATTTGAGGCTAGGTTTGTCGTCGATAAAGCAAGGATGACAGTCCTTTTTATAAGGAAAATGACATGCAAACTTTTGAAAGAAGAAAGACCATTCACAGGCAAGTGTGCTTATTTCTCGCTGTTGTGGAGGTCTTTCCATATTCACTGGTTTGTCATTTTGAGAGGTCCACCCTGTCCTAGTTGGGCTTTTTAAATGTCGGTGCCTCTATTAGTCTTTGGTGAAGCTTTTTTCATGACTCACAAGCTTGTGATAGTGGTGGTGAAATTAAAAGTGAAATGGAGACTCCATCAGCCATCAAAAGTCATCTGCTTTTAACAAACTTTCAGAGTTGTCCAAAGGTGGGCAAGAGGGCTTGGGCCTTCTATGTCCTTGACCAGTCACTGGATGTGGCCAACCTGGGCAGGTGGGGTGAAGCACACTGCTCACTTCTAGGAAAGCTTCTGGCCTAAAACCATGGGCCTCATCTCCTACCCAAAGGAAAACATTCATCTGGGACTTTCTGGAGTTAGAGTCTCCCTCTCCCACCATGGACTGATGTCCCAGACAGGAGCTGGCTTCTTAGCACATACCCACAGGGAGAGATCCTCTGGCAGAGGACAATCTAGGCATGAGTGAATGTGACCTGGGGCTAGAGGGGAGAGAAGGCAAGGGTGGAAGAGAAATCCTACTTCAGCCCATCTTTCTCTGCAGATAATGAGAAATTTTTCACCACTGGACAAAAGGAGCTGTACCTGGAGGCCTGCAAACTGGTGGGTGTAGTGCCTGTCTCCTACTTCATTCGGAACATGGAGGAGTCCTGCGTGAACCTCAACCACCACGGCCTGGGCCCCAGGGGTACCAAGGCTATTGCTATAGCCCTGGTGGTGAGCATGCTAGCGGGGGCTCATGAAACCTCGTGGAGGTGGAGGGTTGGCAGAGTGGTAGGCTCCAGATTCAGAGGGCCCCTCCTATGGAGCCTAAATAGGGACCTTTATGCCCACACTGCCCTGGGTTCTGCTTGGCTGCCAAATGATTTATTTAGCTCCTGGTAGGAGGCTGCTAGCAACCTGGGCCTTAGAAGTCTATGCTCCTTGCAGAGACTTTGGGGAGAAAAAAAGAGACGTCTATATACTCTTTACTGTTCAGGAAGCAAAGGCACCAGCCCCTGGGGCCAGAAAAGTGACCAGGCCCAATGATCAATGTAAGAGCACCAACAAAATGCCAGCCTGGGTCTCCATTCCAAAGCTCACCTGTGCTATAAATGGATTTACTACTGACCCATTCCATTCAACGTCTGCCTTGTGCAACATTATAATTCATAAATACCGTGCTGTAGAATAGATCAAGTTTTCCCACAGAAACAGTATTATCTCTCAGCTTGGTATAACCAAACAAGGACTTGACCTTGAGTTCAGCATGACTTTATATAATTATAACTGACTTACACACAAAACTGACTCCCATCACAGAAAAACAGAAAACCTAACAACTGCATGTCAGCACAACACTGTTTGTTCACTTAGAAAAGTAAACAGAAAATTCCATTATACAACAGCTCAGTAACATAGAGGGGTAGATGTGTCTTTAGAGGTGACATTTAAAATTGGTAATAGTTAAATTATCCATGGAAAGAATTAACAGAGAAAAATAAAGAGTACTTACAGGACCACCAGGTTCATATGCTCACTGTGCAATAAGGACCAATGCATTGAAACAGCAGAGTTTGCAACAAAGAGTTTAATGATCACAGGGTGGCCAAGCAAGGAAATGAAAGGAACGCTTCCATCCATTTCCCTAAGGAGTTCTGGTCTAGAGTTGTTTGTTTGAGACAGGTTTTCTCTATTACCCAGTCTGGAATGCAGTGGCATGATCATGGCTCACTGCAGCTTTGACCTCCTGAGCTTAAGTGATCCTCCTGCCTCAGCCTCTTGATTATCTAGGACCACAGGTGTTCACTACTGCACCCAGCTAATTTTTGTATTTTTAGTAGAGAAGGAGGCTTGCTGTGTTGCCCAGGCTGGTCTCAAACCCCTGGGTTCAGGCGATTCACCCACCTCAGCATCCTAAACTGCTGGGATTACAGGCATAAGCCACTGGACCTGGCCTGGCCAACAGTTTTTAAGGGGATCTTGGAGGACAAGGGACTGAAAAATTAGGGTCATTGATTGGTTGGGACAAGGGGGATGAAATCATCAGGAGGTAGCAGCTGCATGCTTTGGTGAGTCAGCTTCTCTTGGGGTCCTTCAGACCAGCTGATGTCAGTATAGTTTCACCAGCATCTCAGATGGAAAACTTAACATTTCACAATGCTTGCGATGTCATCTGTAGAGCAGTGAAAAGGAACTATGATCCTGTGACAGAGTCTATGTGATTCTAGGGCAACAGGCAGCAAACAACTCTGAGGAAGGGGTCAGAGAGCAGCTGACCTCATGACCAATGCTGTGTGTGCTGCAAGCTGGGCTGATTTCTGTTTCTCCCCTCCCTTCTTCCCTGATCAATTTTTTAAAGTTTATAGGGACAGTTTCAGGACTGAGAAAGAATTCTTTAAAAATATTATTTATAAAGGAGCTGAAAGAAGAAAAGGAGTCAGTAAATTCAATAGAGGATGAGTGACTGAGAGACAGGAGAAGCTACAGAATGGTAGAGACAGCCAAAGACAAGCTGCAGGAAGACTGAGTAGGCCAAGTTCAATGATGCAGACATCTGAGAGACTGATGAATGAGGAAGGCAATTCTGTGGGTCCATATCTATTCAGTTATGAAATACATGGTGAGCTCCAAAAAGCCTGGAAATACACTGTCATTGTTGGTTGCTAGAAGGTACAGTAGTCCACCCTTATCCACAGTTTCACTGTCTACAGTTTCAATTGTTCTTACAGTACAATAAGGTATTTTGAGAGAGAACAAGAAAGAGATATGCCACATACACGTCACTTTTATTTTTTTTTTTTGAGAGACAGTATCGCTCTGTCTCCCAGGCTGGAGTGCAGGGTCATGATCTGAGCTCACTGCAACTTCTACCTCCCAGGTTCAAGTGATTCTCTTGCCTCAGCCTCCCGAGTAGGTGGGATTACAGGTGCGCGCCACCACGCCTGGCTAATTTTTTGTATTTTTAGTAGAGACAGGGTTTCACTATGTTGGCCAGGCTGGTCTTGAAATTTTGGCCTCAAGTGATCCTCCCCACTTGGCCTCCCAAAGTGCTGGGATTACAGGCATGAGCCACGGTGCCCTGGCAAATTACTTTTATGATAGTATATTATAATAATTGTTCTATTTTATTATTAGTTATTGTTAACATCTTATTGTGCCTAATTTGTGAATTAAACTTTATCATGGGTAAGTATGTATAGGAAAAAAGCATAGTATATTTAGGATTTGGTACTATCTTTGGTTTCAGGCATTTACCAGCAGTCTTGATGTTTTCCCCCAGGGATGGGGTGGACTACTGTAATCATTGTTAGAATGTAAGTTCCTTGTACGATAAGAGGGATAAGCTCGTGTGCTGCTGTTCGTTTTGAGTGCCTAGCCCCCAGTTGGCATTGAACGGTGTATTCCTAGAATACATGGTCTTATTTTTCTTCACTTTCCCCAACACACTCATTCTTTCTGAAAGATATAACGGCATTTGCATTTAGCATGTGCACTTTAAGAAGTGACAGGAAATGTGAGATTGCACTGTTTTCTGGGGATGGGAAGAAAGGGGCGGAGAAAGAACAAAGCTGTCTTGAGATTTGTCAGTGGTGGAAAGGCTGATTAATGAAGCGTTAGGAATGCACCATTACCTCAGGAGCTTCGGGGGAAAAACATGGACCATAATGACATCCTCTTGGGACTTGGACCACTTGTTTCTTAGTAACGGCAGTTTCTGTTTGGGAGGAGTTTCTTCTTCCCCCATTCTCTGTATCATTCATTTGACAAGTAATCATCGTGACATTCTGGTGGACTGAACTTCTATTTGCTCTTTGTACTGATTAACTTTTCACGTATTTGTGTTTCCCTGGCTTAGATTAGGAGCAGCCTAATAGCAGGGATAGTATTTCATCCTTGCGTGTATCCCTTGATGGCCCATTACCATGCCCTTGTATGTGGGGGCAGCAGGTGGGGTGAGAATGGGAATGTTCTCTGTTAATCCGTGTTTCACCAGCAGTGAACACAGAGAGTGACAAATAGACACTGGCCTGTGTGGAATAAACGTGGATGGATTTGGGAACTGGGCCTCCTGCTTCCCCCTAGAATGTGCTGGTCGCCAGTATGAATCTGGCAGTGGTGATTCAACTGATGTTTCTAGACACTGCTAAATAGCATCTAGACTGGGAGGCCCCCTGAGCCATCTCCCTCGCCTTTGAGCACAACTCAAGGCAATTGAATTTTGCCCAGCCCAGAGAGCTGAGACCAGAAGACATTTCAGGAAGCCCGGGGGTGAACCATCCCGCATTGCAATAGCTTGTACTATCACATTTTCCTTTTCCAGGGGAGAGGGTTGGGGAGGACCAGCATTAACACGCCTTCCACTTGCTACTTCTCTTGCTCCTTAGTGGGACTTGAAAATGCTCAAATCCAAACCTCTGTCTGTTCTCTGTACCTGTGTGTATTGGGAACAAGGTGGGGAAGGGAAGATCGAATTTCTGATTAGAGCTAACCCCAGTCCTTCATGCTGCAATGCGAGTCCTTTCCTCTCTCTCCTCTTGCCCCTCATTGAAATGCAGACTAGTGGCCGGTCGCGGTGGCTCATGCCTGTAATCCCACCTCTTTGGGAGGCCAAGGTGGGTGGATCACCTGAGGTCAGGAGTTCAAGACGAGCCTGGCGAACGTGGTGAAACCTCGTCTCTACTAAAAAAATACAAAAATTAGCCAAGTGTGGTGGTGGGCACTTGTAATCCCAGCTACTCTGGAGGCTGAGGCAGGGAGGATTGCTTGAACCCGGGAAGCAGAGGTTGCAGTGAGCTGAGATCGTGCCACTGCACTCCATCCTGGGCGACAGAGAAATCACTCCATTTCAAAAAAAAAAAAAAGAAATGCAACTAGCTTGGATCTAGATATTCACCGAAGATTTATATGTCCAATTCCTTCCAAACAGACTTGAGGTCACCTCCTATTAAAAAGAGTACCAGAGCCAGGTGTGGTGGCTCACGTCTGTAATTCCAGCTACTTGGGAGGCTAAGGCAGGAGGCTCACTTGAGCCCATGGGTTTGAGATCCGCCTGGGCAACATAGACCGCATCTCAAAAAATAATAATTAATAAATAAATAAATATGAATTTCAAAGAGTGTACCAGATAAGACTTAAGCCTAAATTAGAAGAAAGGCCTCTGAAGAAAGCAAAATCAATGCTTTAAAGGACCTCCTTTATGTTTAAATATCCTTTAAATATAAATATCCTTTAAACATAAATATCCTTTAAACATAAAAAATCTTTATGTTTAAATATCCTTATTCAATGTATCAAGTTTTCCTTAATCTTGGAGTAGGTCACAGTTCTTTCTCCTTAGGGCTCAATAGTTAAAATCTGTTTAGCTCATCCTTGTGCCTCCGACTTGTCAGGGTTTTAATTGCTTTCAGGATTCTTTTCTAAATTCTCCCAGAATCAGCGTATTGTCCTAGCAAAACTCTACGGGTTGGTTCGGCCCCTGTTCTGGTCTCTTCGCCCTTGCTAGGCCTTCAGAATTCCTAGCCTGCATCTCAGGGCAAGCAGAGAACTGACTGGGTCACCAACCGCTTCTGTGTCTCTCTCCCTCCCCTTGTGCTGGCTGAAGTCCAACACGGCTGTTACCAAACTGGAGCTGGAAGACAACTGCATCATGGAGGAGGGCGTCTTGAGCCTGGTGGAGATGCTACAAGAGAACTACTACCTCCAGGAGATGGTACTGTGCCCCGCTGTGCTGGCTCCTACCATCATCCCTGGGGATTCACAACCCACTGGACACAAGCCAGAGGCCCTGCCGGCCCCTGCCCTTCCCACGTGACTTCTCAGAGGAGGGTCACACGTGAGAGGCTGTGTTTCCTATGGCTGTAGAAAATCCTAAGAAACAATTTATGGCCAGGCATGGTGGCTCACACCTGCAATCCCAGCACTTTGGGAGGCCGAGGCAGGTGGATCACCTGAGGTCAGGAGTTCGAGCCCAGCCTGGCCAACATAGTGAAACCCCGTCTCTACTAAAAATACAAAAATTAGCCGGGCATGGTGGTGGGCACCTGTAATCCCAGCTACTCAGGAGGCTGAATCAGGAGAATGGCTTGAACCCAGCAGGTGGAGGTTGCAGTGAGCCGAGATCGCGCCACTGCACTCCAGCCTGGGCGACAAGAGTGAGACTCCGTCTCAAAAAAAAAAAAAAAAGAAAGAAAAAAAGAACCCATTTCTGTCTGGAACTTAGAAGACCTTAAAAATGATAAATGTGGCCAGGCATGGTGGCTCACGCCTGTAATCCCAACACTTTGGGAAGGCAAGGTGGGCAGATCACCTGAGGTCAGGAGTTCGAGACCAGCCTGGCCAACATGGTGGAACCCCGCCTCTACTAAAAATATAAAAAGTTAATTGTGCATGGTGGTGTGCACCTGTAATCCCAGCTACTCGGGAGGCTGAGGCAGGCGAATTGCTTGAACCCCGGAGGCAGAGGTTGCAGTTAGCTGAGATGACGCCACTGCACTCCAGCCTAGGTGACAGAGTGAGACTCTGTTTCAAAAAAAAAAAAAAAATTGATAAATGTAGCTCTGCATAGTTGCCTTAAAGTGAACTTTCTTGAAGAAAGTAAAGACATGAAATAATTTCTTGAAAGACAATGTGCCTAGAGATGGCTGGTGGTGATGGTTACACAATGGGAATATGCTTAATACCACGGCACTGGACACTGAAAAACGGCAAAGATGGTAAATCATGTTATGCTTATTTTACCATCTTAAAAAGAAATTCAAAGAAAAGGGGGAAACAACCAATTAAGACCATAATGGCCACTTTATATAAAGTCCCACCCACTAGCTTAAAAGGACAATTCATACTTCCCGAATCAATGAGTGGAATTTACAATAATTCTGCACTCTGAACTCAATTTTCACTGTTTCACTCCACATGAAGCTGTTCTGGGTTTTAACACAAAGAAACAAAATAGCATGCTTATCTGAAGCACCAAGGCTAAATTGGGAAAATAGGGAGTCCTTGAAGCCAACTTCAAAACACTGAGACCAGCCAGCCCACGGGTCCCACAGGCAGGCCCTGGAAAAGCCGGCTCTAGAGCCTGGTTTCCTATTGCTCGTCTCTTCGTCCTTGGCACCACCCTATTCCTCCTAATCTTTCCCCATCCCAACCCTACACCCTCAGCACAGGACTCAAGTAAACCACAAAAGACATCATTTGTTCATGAGGGCCCTTTGGTGAGCTTTTTTACATACCGAAGTATTTTCTTGCCTTTTAGAATATTTCCAACAATCACCTTGGTTTGGAGGGGGCCAGAATCATCTCAGATTTCTTCGAGAGAAATAGTTCTTCCATCTGGAACCTTGAGCTTTCAGGTGAGCACATGGAAAGGGAGGGAGAAGACGCTGGGAATCAGAGGGAGGGAAGAGGGGAAAAACAGATAATTCAACGTCTCTTTGAACCAGACCATGTTCTTCTAGTCTTGGAGACCAGAATACTGCATCTATGCCTGTTAAACCCTCCCAGTCACACTCCCCTAGCCCCCGCCATTTATCATCCATATCTGACATTACAGATGATATATAAACAATAATTTATCATATACTTTACCACCCAAACTGAATAGGGCACTATTAATTAACTGGAACCATAAGCAAACTGAGATATCTTGCACCCAATCGTAAACTATGTTTAATATGATTAAGAACATAAAATAAAATCATAAAAGAACAAATCACTTAAAAAAATACCTCTCCTCCTCTCCACACCAAGATTTTCTTACAGTGAAAAATTTATAGTCACTGATATTAAAGGCTCAACAAATAAATTCAATGGCACATTAGTTACGAGTGAGTAGAATTAGTGGAAAACATTTTATCTTTGCAGCATAGAAAGCCAAAGACATAGAGAATATAAAAGATAAAAGAATTAAAAGAATGAGTAGTTTCCAGAAGGAGAAGAAATGAATGAGCAGCAATATTTGAACAAATAACAGCTAACATGTTCCCTAAATTGATAAATTTGCAGATACAGGAATTCAAGTAACTCCTAAGAAAGGTATATAAAAAGGAATCTACACTGGAATATATCTCTGAAAAACCCTTAAGATACAGAGAAGATCTGAAGAGTGTCTAGGGAGAAAATACAGAAATAAAGTTTGTGTATTTTTCTTTATAAAGATGGAGTCTCGCTATGTTGTCCAGGCTAGTCTTAAACTCCTGGGCTTGAGCAATCCTCCCGCCTCAGCCTCCCAAAGTGGTGGGATTACAGGCAAAAGCCACCGTGCCCAGCCTTAGTTCGTGTATTTTTAACATAAATGTTATTACAGGTCAGTTATTATTCTCCAATTTCTCTTGTTTTACACTAAATATATCCTGGATTTCTTTCTATGGCAAAACAAATAGATTTATCTAATTCTCTTGAACTGCTGGCTAGTATTCTGAGTTATGGACACAGTACAGTTTATTTAACACCCCCCTATTTGGGAGAAAGGAGATTAAAGTCATTTCTAATTTTGCCTTCAAGTAATGTTTTAAAGGACTTTCTTGTTCATGCATCTTTTAGGCACATGTTCTTGTATTTCTAGATAGACACCCAGGAGCACAATTACTGAATATGAAGATGTATCCATTTTTGTGAACTTAACAATTGATTTCCAAATTTCCCTTTAAAAAGACTGCCAGGTTATAATTCTACCAATGAACTGTTGCCTATACTATCCCCAGAAGGGTAATAGCAAGCTATTTGTGAATCAAAATGGTTAAGCGTGTGGGTGTAGAAGTCACAGTGCTTGGGTTCAAATCCCAGCTTTGACACTGGGCAAGTTTTTTAACCATTTTGTGCCTCATTTTCTCATTCATAAACTGAAGATAATTATATTACCTGATGGTTGTTATGAATATTAAGTGAATTAAAATCTAAAACTCCCAGAACTATACCTAGTACATAAGTATTCAATGTGTTCCTCGCTATTATTTTCTTTGTTACTGTTACACATTCTATTACTATTGAAATAGAACACCTTTTGAGATGCTCACTTCCACTTCTATTTTCTCTTCTATGAAATGTTAGTTGTTGCATGGGGTTGTTAGTATGACTTAGTTTTAGCCATTCTTCATAAACTATAGGTATTCATACTTGAATGTTAGAATGTTAGATACAGGTTTATTTATGGTACTTTCTTTTTTTGTTTTGTTTTGTTTTGTTTTTGAGACAGAGTTTTGCTCTGTTACCAGGCTGGAGTGCAGTGGCTCGATCCGGACTCACTGCAACCCCCGCCTCCTGGGTTCAAGCAATTCTCCTGCCTCAACCTCCTGAGTAGCTGGGACTAGCGTGCCACCATGCCCGGCTAGTTTTTGTATTTTTAGTAGAGACGGGGTTTCACCATGTTGGACAGGATGGTCTCGATCTCTTGACCTCATGATCTGCCCGCCTCAGCCTCCCAAAGTGCTGGAATTACAGGCATGAGACACCATGCCCAGCCTGTTTATGGTACTTTCTTGTAGCAAAGTTTGTGTCTTTTATTGATGTCAAGTTTTATAGTCTTTTTCCTTTATGGATTTAATTTTTGTAGTCTTGCTTTAAAACTCTTTCCCAAAGTTTATAAAAATATTTTCCTGAACCAGCAGTGGTGGCACGCACTGATAGTCCCATTTACTCAGGAGGCTGAGGTGGGAGAATTGCTTGAGCCCAGGACTGGCTCCCCTGGGCAACATAGCAAGACCCATCTGTAAAAAATAAAAAGAAAACAAAATTAGGTAACAATATTTTCCTTTATTTTTTTCAATTTTTGTTGTTGTTGTTTCTACTCTCAGCTTTCTAATATATCCAATACTTGTTTGTGCATGGCATGAGGTAGAAATCAGATGTTTTATTTCCAAAACTGATAGCCAGATACTCCAGCATCTCAATGTCATAATTCATCCTTTTATGATTAATTTAAAATATCATCTTTATCATGTATTAAACTCCCATTATAAATATAGGTTTCCTTCTAGATTCTCTGTTTCATTTCATTAATCTATTTATGTATTTCCATGTCAACATTGCATTGTCTTAATATTTGTTTAGAATATTAAAATTATAATTACCACATATTATAACATAAGATGTTGTGACTAATACAAAAAAAGATGATGTACTGTTTAATATATGTTATAAAATCTTATAATAAATATTTTTTGTTTGTTTGTTTTTGAGATGGAGTCTCCCTCTGTCACCCAGGCTGGAGCGCAGTGGCGCCATCTCAGCTCGTTACAACCTCTGCCTCCTGGGTTCAAGTGATTCTCCTGTCTCAGCATTCCGGGTAGCTGGGATTACAGGTGGCTGCTGCCATGCCCAGCTAATTTTTGTATTTTTAGTAGAGACAGAGTTTTGCCATGTTGGCCAGGCTGGTCTCAAACTCCTGTCCTCAAGTGATTCACCCGCCTCGGCCTCCCAAAGTGCTGGGATTACAGGCATGAGCCACTGTGCCCAGCCAATAAATATGTTTTGTATGTGAGTGGGCATTACTTTTTTTCAAAGTAACCTTGAATCTTTTTTTCAAAGTAATCTTGAATCCTTTCTTCAAAATAATTCTGCAATATTGGCTATTAGTATTGTAAGTAATAGTAATCTTGGCTATTCTTGTACAGTTTCTCCTCCAGGTGAATTTGAGAATCATTTTGTCAAGTTCTATTTAAGAAAAAAAAAAAGAAGAAGAAAAGAACACCTGTTGGGGTTTTGGTTGGGGTTCCATTTAATATTCTAGATTAATTTATGAAAGAACTGACATATTCGCAATATTGAGTCTCTTCATTTATGAACATGGTTTATCTCTACTCCTGCAGGTCTATATATATATATATATA